GAATTGCTGATATTAAGTCAGAATTGCCTTATGAAGTCAGATATGAAGTCAGAATTGCCTGATATTAAGTCAGAATTGCGAGATATAAAGTCAGAATTGCCTGATATTAAGTCAGAATTGCGAGATATAAAGTCAGAATTGTGAGATATAAGTCAGAATTGCCTGATATTAAGTCAGAATTGAGAGATATAAAGTCAGAATTGCCTGATATTAAGTCAGAATTGCGGATATAAAGTCAGAATTGCCTGATATAAAGTCAGAATTGCGAGATATAAAGTCAGAATTGTGAGATATAAAGTCAGAATTGGCAGATTTAGTCAGAATTGCCTGATTAAAGTCAGAATTGCCTGATATAAAGTCAGAATTGCTGATATAAAGTCAGAATTGCCTGATATTAAGTCAGAATTGCGAGATATTCAAGTCAGAATTGCCTGATATGAAGTCAGAATTGCGGAGATATAAAGTCAGAATTGCCTGATATTAAGTCAGAATTGCCAGATTTAAAGTCAGAATTGCCTGATATAAGTCAGAATGCGAGATATCAAGTCAGAATTGCTGATACAAAGTCAGAATTGTCTGATATTAAGTAAGAATTGCCTGATAGAAGTCAGATATGAAGTCAGAATTGCCTGATATAAGTCAGAATTGCGAGATATAAAGTCAGAATTGCCTGATATAAAGTCAGAATTGCGAGATATAAAGTCAGAATTGCCTGATATGAAGTCAGATATGAAGTCAGAATGCTGATATTAAGTCAGAATTGCGAGATATAAAGTCAGAATTGCCTGATAAAGTCAGAATTGCGAGATATAAAGTCAGAATTGTGAGATATAAAGTCAGAATTGCGCGATATCAAGTCAGAATTGCCTGATATGAAGTCAGAATTGCGAGATATAAGTCAGAATTGCCTGATATTAAGTCAGAATTGCAGATTTAAAGTCAGAATTGCCTGATATGAAGTCAGAATTGCGAGATATCAAGTCAGAATTGCCTGATACAAAGTCAGAATTGTCTGATATTAAGTCAGAATTGCTGATATGAAGTCAGATATGAAGTCAGAATTTGCCTGATATATTAAGTCAGAATTGCGAGATATAAAGTCAGAATTCTGATATAAAGTCAGAATTGCGATATAAAGTCAGAATTGCCTGATATGAAGTCAGAATTGCGAGATATCAAGTCAGAATTGCCTGATATGAGTCAGAATTGTGAGATATGAAGTCAGGATTGCCCAATAAAGTCAGAATTGCCGATATAAAGTCAGAATTGCCTTGATATAGTCAAATGCCCGATTAAAGTCAGAATTGCCCGATACAAAGTCAGAATTGCCCGATATAAAGTCAGAATTGCCCAAAATAAAGTCAGAATTGCCCGATACAAAGTCAGAATTGCCCAATAAAAAGTCAGAATTGCCTGATATAAGTCAGAATTGCCTGATACAAAGTCAGAATTGCTGATATAAAGTCAGAATTGCCCGATACAAAGTCAGAATTGCCATAAAAAGTCAGAATTGCCCGAAACAAAGTCAGAATTGCCCGATAAAAAGTCAGAATTGCCTGATATTAAGTCAGAATAGCCTGATACAAAGTCAGAATTGCCTGATACAAAGTCAGAATTGCCGAAACAAGTCAGAATTGCCTGAAAAAAGTCAGAATTGAATGATATGAAGTCAGATATGAAGTCAGAATTGCTTGATATGAAGTCAGAATTGCCTGATATAAAGTCAGAATTGCGAGATATAAAGTCAGAATTGCCTGATATGAAGTCAGAATTGCGAGATATAAAGTCAGAATTGCCTGATATAAAGTCAGAATTGCGAGATATAAAGTCAGAATTGCCTGATATAAAGTCAGAATTGCGAGATATAAAGTCAGAATTGCCTGATATGAAGTCAGAATTGTGAGATATAAAGTCAGAATTGCTGATATGAAGTCAGAATTGTGAGATATAAAGTCAGAATGCGAAATATAAGTCAGAATTGCCTGATATAAAAGTCAGAATTGCGAGATATAAAGTCAGAATTGCCTGATATGAAGTCAGAATTGCTGATATGAAGTCAGAATTGCGAGATATAAAGTCAGAATTGCCAGATATAAAGTCAGAATTGCTGATTAAAGTCAGAATTGCCTGATATGAAGTCAGAATTGCCAGATATAAAGTCAGAATTGCCTGATATAAAGTCAGAATTGCGAGATATAAAGTCAGAATTGCCTGATATGAAGTCAGAATTGCCTGATATAAAGTCAGAATTGCCTGATTATGAGTCAGAATTGCGAGATATAAAGTCAGAATTGTGAGATATAAAGTCAGAATTGCCTGATTTAAAGTCAGAATTGCCAGATATAAAGTCAGAATTGCCTGATATGAAAGTCAGAATTGCCTGATATGAAGTCAGAATTGGAGATATAAAGTCAGAATTGTGAGATATAAAGTCAGAATTGCCAGATTTAAAGTCAGAATTGCTGATCTAAAGTCAGAATTGCCTGATATTAAAGTCAGAATTGCCTGATATGAAGTCAGAATTGCGAGATATAAAGTCAGAATTGGAGATTAAAGTCAGAATTGCCTGATTTAAAGTCAGAATTGCCAGATATAAAGTCAGAATTGCCTGATTTAAAGTCAGAATTGCCTGATATGAAGTCAGAATTGCCAGATATAAAGTCAGATTTGCCTGATATGAAGTCAGATTGCCTGATATGAAGTCAGAATTGCTGATATGAGTCAGAATTGCCAGATATAAAGTCAGAATTGCCTGATATGAAGTCAGAATTGCGAGATATAAAGTCAGAATTTGCGATATAAAGTCAGAATTGCCAGATATAAAGTCAGAATTGCCTGATATGAAGTCAGAATTGCGAGATATAAAGTCAGAATTGCCAGATATAAAGTCAGAATTGCTGATATAAGTCAGAATTGCCTGATATGAAGTCAGAATTGCGAGATATAAAGTCAGAATTGCGAGATATAAAGTCAGAATTGCTGATTTAAAGTCAGAATTGCCAGATATAAAGTCAGAATTGCCTGATTTAAAGTCAGAATTGCCTGATATGAAGTCAGAATTGCCAGATATAAAGTCAGAATTGCCAGATATAAAGTCAGAATTGCCTGATTTAAAGTCAGAATTGCCTGATATGAAGTCAGAATTGCAGATATAAAGTCAGAATGCCTGATATAAAGTCAGAATTGCAGATTTAAATCAGAATTGCCTGATTTAAAGTCAGAATTGCCTGATATAAAGTCAGAATTGCCAGATATAAAGTCAGAATTGCCTGATTTAAGTCAGAATTGCCAGATATAAAGTCAGAATTGCCAGATATAAGTCAGAATTGCCAGATATAAAGTCAGAATTGCCTGATATGAAGTCAGAATTGCCAGATTTAAAGTCAGAATTGCCTGATTTAAAGTCAGAATTGCCTGATTGAAGTCAGAATTGCCAGATATAAAGTCAGAATTGCCTGATATGAAGTCAGAATTGCCAGATTTAAAGTCAGAATTGCCTGATTTAAAGTCAGAATTGCCTGATATGAAGTCAGAATTGCCAGATATAAAGTCAGAATTGCCTGATATGAAGTCAGAATTGCCAGATTTAAAGTCAGAATTGCCTGATTTAAAGTCAGAATTGCCTGATGAAGTCAGAATTGCCAGATATAAAGTCAGAATTGCCTGATATGAAGTCAGAATTGCCAGATTTAAAGTCAGAATTGCCTGATTTAAAGTCAGAATTGCCTGATATGAAGTCAGAATTGCCAGATATAAAGTCAGAATTGCCTGATATAAAGTCAGAATTGCCAGATTTAAATCAGAATTGCCTGATTTAAAGTCAGAATTGCCTGATATAAAGTCAGAATTGCCCGATACAAAGTCAGAATTGCCTGATATAAATTCAGAATTGCCCGATGCAAAGTCAGAATTGCCTGATATAAAGTCAGAATTGCCTGATATAAAGTCAGAATTGCCTGATATAAAGTCAAATTGCCTGATATTAAGTCAGAATTGCCAGATATAAAGTCAGAATTGCCTGATATAAAGTCAGAATTGCCTGATATAAAGTCAGAATTGCCAGATTTAAAGTCAGAATTGCCTGATATGAAGTCAGAATTGCCAGATATAAAGTCAGAATTGCCTGATTTAAAGTCAGAATTGCCTGATATGAAGTCAGAATTGCCAGATATAAAGTCAGAATTGCCAGATATAAAGTCAGAATTGCCAGATATAAAGTCAGAATTGCCTGATATGAAGTCAGAATTGCCAGATATAAAGTCAGAATTGCCTGATATGAAGTCAGAATTGCCAGATTTAAAATCAGAATTGCCTGATAAAAAGTCAGAATTGCCTGATATAAAGTCAGAATTGCCTGATATAAAGTCAGAATTGCCTGATATAAAGTCAGAATTGCCTGATATAAAGTCAGAATTGCCTGATATGAAGTCAGAATTGCCAGATATAAAGTCAGAATTGCCTGATATGAAGTCAGAATTGCCAGATTTAAAATCAGAATTGCCTGATATAAAGTCAGAATTGCCTGATATAAAGTCAGAATTGCCAGATTTAAAATCAGAATTGCCTGATATAAAGTCAGAATTGCCTGATATAAAGTCAGAATTGCCAGATTTAAAATCAGAATTGCCTGATTTAAAGTCAGAATTGCCTGATATAAAGTCAGAATTGCCTGATTTAAAGTCAGAATTGCCTGATATTAAGTCAGATTTGCCCGATGCAAAGTCATAATTGCCCGATGCAAAGTGTCAAGATAATGGGCACGGATAAATCACTTAGAATGAACATTGCTAAATGACATGAAATATAAATAATTGTCCATTTTGGTTTCATTAAGACTTTAAGTTTTTCCCTGAACTGCTGAAATTTTAAAATGCTGATATTTCACTGTTTGCTGTTCCAGTTTTTTACGTTTTCTGGGTTGGTAGATGCACAGGGGATGCGATTATAGCACCTAAACACGGAAAAAGTCCAATTTTCATGATATGTCCCCTTTAAAATGCGGATCTTTCTCTGTGGTGTTTGTGTTTCCCGTGCAGTTCGCAGCGCTCACACATGCCTCCGCTGCTGTCGTCTCTCTCCACGCTGGTCATGTTCCTGCGCCGACAGCAGCACTCCTCGTTCCTCACGCTGTCCCGGGCCTCGGGCTCGGCAGAGGCCTGGCGTCTGCTCTGCCACTCCAGCCTAGCTCTGCTAATCCTCTACAACCGGCACCGCGAGTGTGAGGTGGCCAAGCTCACCATCCAGGACTACCAGGACCGAAACTCAGTCCTCCCGTCGGACGAGTCTCTTTCCCCCTTCGAGCGGCACGTGCTCTGCCACCTCACCCGTGTGGGTGTTTTAGGCAAACGTGGTCGCGTTCAACCGCTAATCCTTCCTCCGCATTCAGAAGCATGTCTGGATCTTCTCTTAAAGACGTCAGGAGATGTAGGAGTCGATCCTGAGAGCCCGTACGTGTTTTCCCGGCCGTATCACTCGCCGGCTACGCCACTCCGTGGCACCGACCTTCTCCGGAGCCTAGCGCGCACTAGCGGCGCTAAAAACCCCACAACGCTAACCGCGCCCCGTGCCCGCCGCCAGGTGGCCATCCTAACCCAACTACTGCTGCTCGAGGAGGGAGAAAAAGCCTCAGGCGCTGCTACCAAACGGTTGGAGGATTTCCTGCAGAGGGAGTACCATGTGACCCAGAGCTGCGCTCGGATTGGTCAGGACCCGGCGCTGATGAACCGCGTGGGGCGAGTGGTGTTGTACGGGGAGCGTGAGGGCGTTCTGTTCAGAGGGATGAGTCTGCAGCACATCTGCCTCGAGCTGGATGGTAAGACTGGGGAAATAAAACACGAAGATGTACTTTCTAATTTGTTGTATTTTATAGTACATATCAGGATTACTAAAATATTTAATTGCTTGGGATGCACGGTATATATCGGTATCGACCGATATATGTTAATATTTAAAGTTTTCCTTATCGACCTGATGAGAAAATTTGGCCGGTACATTAAAGCCAATAAATAAAGGATTATTTCCTTTAGCTGAGAAACTTTAGATTCGCACTCTTCGCAATGATGGTTTTTAATTGCTTGAAATATGATTGGAAAAAGGGAAAACACAGTAAAGTGCAACAGCTGTCAAATAAGCTACATCAAATTATGAGAACATGTGTATTTGGGACGTGGCTTTTAATGGTGAGACTTTTGTTTTTGTAATCATGTTCTCAAAAATAATATATAAATTAGGAATTAGATTTATCGGCCGATATATCGGTTATCGGCTTTTAAATACAACGAATTATCGGTTATCGGTTTTTAAATACAACAAATTATCGGTTATCGGTATTGGCCAAAATGTTCATAGCACATCCCTAGTAATTCCATTAGATCTGATTCCTAAGGTATAGAGACAGACTTTTCCAGTATTGCATATCAACACAAACGACTGTTAAGTTTTCTCTCCTCCGTCAGTGATGTCGGGAAACTCTGCCGACTCCTTCTCGGAGGATTCGGATGGGGAAGGCAATGGGAATAAGGAGAGAGCTGTCGTTGTAAAGAAGAGAGTAGCCAGTACTCGAGCGCCGCGGCAGAAGAAGGGAACTAGCCCGCGCGTGACACAGGCCACGCCCTCTCCGTCAGCTGGGCTGAAGAGGCGGAGCTCACAGGTCAAATCGGGTGAGTCACCTGACACACTACTGAGCTTGAGCTTCATTTCTTTACTTAAAGTCTGGAACTTAATGTTTTGTAATGACATTTAGTTCTGTTCTATAAAAGTTTGGTTAAAATTAAATAGGCTTGTTTTATATCAGCCGATATATCGGTTATCGGCATCAACCGCTAAATAAAAGCTAAAGAATAATTTTATTGAGCAATTGTTATTTATGTGTTATTTACCATCTTTAAATTAAATATATGCGCCAATATTCCAGATATCGGCATTGCAATATACATATCGGTCAACCACTAAATCAAATCTTTAGAATTAATCTGTTTATAGGTTTAGTTTTCATCAAGTTCAAATAATTTTGTATTTTAAAATTATGTATTTTCCAATTCAGTAAATATTTAAAATTGCATTGCAATTTTTATTCATGTGTTATTTAATATCTTTAAATTAAATATATCGGCCAATATTTTGGATATCTCCAATGGCCATTACGTGTATTTATTTTTAACATGTAATGTAAATTATTGACTAATTATATAAAATTAATATCAGCCAATATATCGTATATCATGTGTTATTTATCATCTTTAAATTAAATATATTGGATATCGGCCATCAGAAAATTGTAAATATGTCAAATTAATATCAGTTTTATTGAGCAATTGTTATTCATATGTTATTTACCGTCTTTAAATGAAATTTATCGGACAATATTTCGGGTATCGACAATGGCCATCAATTTTTTTTTTAAATATATAAAATATTTAGTTTTTTTGTAAAAATGTAAAATAAATATGAATTAATGTTAGTTAATAAACATGTTTTATCTAATGTTAACAGATGCTGTTTTATGCGATATGTAAAATAAATATACATTTTATTTAGCAATTGTTATTCATGTGTTATTTACTATATTGAAATTAAAAATAGTGGCCAATCTATCGAATATCGGGATATTTTGATATACTATATAGTTTATTGTATGTGAGGTGTGATAACGGGGGTTTGTGTAACGCGTGTTGTTGTGTGTTTGCTAGGCAAGCGCGGCGTCCTGAAGCGGCCCTGGTCGGAGGCGGAGCGTGTTGCCGTGGAGACGCACCTGAAGCGCAACATCGTGGATCTGCGAGTTCCTGCGAAGGCGGACTGTGAGCGATGTCTGCAGCTCTGCCCTCTGCTGGCCAGCAACCAGCGCGACTGGAGGGCCATCAAGTTCTACTGTCACAACCGTATACAGTTACTGAGGAAACAGGGCCGCCGCGACGGCAACACACAGTAACACACACACACACACACACACACACACCATATACAGTTACTGAGGAAACAGGGACACAGAGAAGGGAACACACCACAGTAACACACACACACACACACACACTGTCGTTGTTTACATTCACTCCGTGACGCGAGTAAACAATGACAGGTTTTATGTTAAGTTAAGCTATCACACAGTGCAATGATGTGTGTATCGCACCCACACCTCCCACATTCCCGTGTGTGTGTTTCTCGGACCACTCTTCCACACACACACACACACACACACTCCAGTATTCAGACTCGATCTGACTTTATTTCTGGGTTTCTGCATGGACAGTTTCTCGCGATGACATCACTCGTCCCCTTCGCTTCTCTCCACCGACTGCTTATGAAACAGTGTTTGATGATTTGGGGCCAGCTGAGGTCAGAGGTCAGACCACGTCCAGCTCGTACAGGAAGTGCTGAGCTGGTATTGTGTGAGGATAATGAAGCCTGTTCGTGTGATCGTTGTTTTCATTGGCTGATTTCGGCCTCAAACGCTGTTTTTCTTTCCATATAGCACTTCAGCTGATGTAGCATTAGCATTAGCTAACGCATTAGTTAACAAACTATGAGCAATATACTCACAGCATGTATGAAGTTGTGTTAATGTTAGTTCATAAACGATGCTGAGAAAGTTGCATTAACTGATATTCATAAATGCTGTGTATTGTTTATTGTTAATGTTGTTAACTAATGAACGCTTGTTGTAAAGTGTTACTTTATCAATAGTGATTCTCATTTCTGTTTAGCACTGGTTTATTTACACAGAGGAAATACAGTATTCAACATCCAAATATTCCGTTTTTATTTTATTATTTTTTTTTTTTCAGAATAAGATTTTTGCATTACATTAATGATTTTTATATATTATTTATGTTCTTGTATGTCTGAAAATTGTGGAAAATTGTTTCCGGCATGGAATAAAAAAAATGAAAAGGTAATTGTGACTTTTTTTCTCACAATTGCCAGATTTTGGAGTTTTCATGTCAAATCTCTGATCTGAGAAAGGACTTCGTTTATTCACGCAACACTGCATGTGGAAGCTGTGTGTGACCTTCGACCTGGACGTGTTCGGTTTAGAGTTGGAGATCAGTCCCGCTTCATCTGTGCCAAACGTGTGTGTGTGTGTGTGTGTGCAGTGGCGTACCCTGATGTTAGAGGAGCTCGTGTACATACTGTAAATACTGACAGCATTTTAAAGTTGTTTTCCTAACGCTGTTGTAAAGGTCTATGAGATTTTAGCCAGATGATGATGATGTCTTGACAGATACTGAGGTCAATGTCACATTATTGGAGTTTCAGATTGTCATGTGGTTTTATTAAATTACAAACACATGAAAAAACAGTTGTGTGTGTCTCGATATCATTTTTGAGTGTGTTCACTTTATATATTATGATGAGTGTTACAGACCAGCTGTGAAACAGTTACTTGTGCTTTACTAGACCCTTCCTAACACAGGAACTGCTCAAACCTGTTTCTGAGTCTGTGAAATGTTGCAGTATTACATATAAAAATAAAATCCATTCCCTCATCTTAAAACAAATGAAATGCATCTCCATTAATGTTTTTTTATTGATTAATCTTGTAATTTTTCCACAGATTGAGCACTCGATGTTTCACTAAAGCACTTGCATGTTTCTGACAGCAGACTCCTGAACTCGTGTGTGTCGTTCCTGCAGTCCCGCTGATGAACACTAGATGGAGACACCGCTGTATCTCACTCCAGTGACTCGAGGTTTGTTCAGTCATATTTACTGTTTATTCTGCTCGTGTGTGCATTTGCTTTATGTGAGATTTGAACATGTGGTTTACACCAGAGCAAAGATGCGTTTCCCACAACGAACAGGATATGATCTCAGCTGTGATTTTTTTTATTCACTTAAAAGTCCCCCTGTAGTCAATCATTCTTTCCCTTAAAACTCATCTCTCACTGCCAAAATTACTTATTTTTAAATTTTTGTCCTTGATAAAAATGTCTTCATCTTAAATATCTTGGATATTTTAAGCGCATACTAAAACTAGACACTCTCGCCTCATTTAGTATGCTCAGTTCTATGAATATGCAAATGAATGAAGCTCGGAGATCCACTGGTTGACGATCACACGTTGATCTGATTGGTCGTTTGTGATGTCAGAAACACCAAAAAGCATATTAAAAACACCTCATAGACACATAAACAACATATTAAAAACACCAAAGACACATAAACAACATTAAACTGGATTTTCACCTCAGAGGGACTTTATTTAATCAGATCCAAAATTGGAGTAAAATAGAAATCACTATTTATTTACAAGATGCATGATAAAAAAGTTTCATAACAGATATGCCCGTCGCCAGCCCTCAAAATGGTTTATATTGTGCCCACCCGATCGTTTGGCACTGAATGTTGACGATTTTGTGTATTTTCAAATTTAGCTCCGCAGAACTTCAGGAACGGTATATAAGCTCTACAACGGTAGCAATGCATAACATATTATCTTCACAAATGATTCAGAAATTCATTATTCAACGCATTATTACACAGAACGTAACTTTAAATATAATTATACTCATAAATAACTGTAAAAACATCCCAAAACAGCACCCAAACCTTGCAAAAACCTACCTCATTAATTATTCAAATACAACAGCCAATGGCAAGTCTCCAGCAGCAGGTCTTTCGATATGTTATTTTTTTGTTACTACTTTTATTTATTCAAATTACAATATGCAGTTTGTGTGTAAGTATATATATAATATAAACCATGCAATTCATTTAGTTATGCGTACAGTTTTGTTTATGTAATTCCTTTTCGCAGCTGCGCAGTGCACGCGATCCCAGAATCCAATTTTGGCGGTTTTGTAGGCCGACAGCAAAGCTTAGTTAAGCTTATAAGAAAGGGGTTTAAATATTCGTCGTTGACAAAGACGACTTTGACCAACAATAACGAGTGTGGAGACGACTCTGGAGCTAAAGAGATGGTATGAATGGAGAATTTGTCAGCTATTGCTAAATCTTTATTGCAGTATGTTATGAATTGCTTTTATTATAGTTGTGTTGTTGGTGGAAAACCAGGAGCATTTGTGACTCATGTTTATGAAGTGTAGAGTCATAAATCATTGGTTTTGGTGTAGTTTTAGGTTGGACTTGTAATGATATTGCGTACATTACGTTGCTTGTGCCTGTTCCTCAAGAAAGCCTCTAGATGGCACTGTGCTGTGTATGTGACGAACCATGCAGATTAGCAAAAAATATAGGCTATTACTAGCTGTGGAAATGTTACGAAAAAATAAACAGAGACGTCGAGATCATATGGTGAAGTATTTTATTTGAATAAAATGAACAAAACAAGACTATTGGTCTATTTTAGTTATAGCCTAAAAATAAGTTGTTGTTTTGATCTGTCTCAGATCATTTAAAAAAGTGGTGGCCCTGATAACAGACATGTATTACAAAGGTACAAGTAGTACAATACAATTCTTTAGATTTGCAATCATAAACAAAGAGTGTAGGTAAATGTTAACGTTTTATGAGCAACACACACACTTTACAGAGCAGTTTAACACATGCGATACAACAAGATAAAATCTAATGCATGATTTAATCACAGGAATATTATATTCAGCTTTAATCATTGCACATGTACATCAGTTCTGCCTCAGTAGCTGCCTTTATATTTACATAAATAACACTCAAAACTTATTTTACCATCTTTTTTCTTTCAACACATTGTTTATCCATCAATATTCAACAAAAATTAAAAATTGAATTATCATCTTTTTCATATTGTCATTAATACTAGAAGCGATATTTCACATCAAAAACTGTTGCTCGCGCAGAAGTGAACCCAAGCACATTTATGTTTGTCAGCGAATACGAGCAAAATTTGCAGAATCTTTCAAACTTTTCACTTGATGTTAAAAGATATAGAAGATTATAAAATCAATGTCTCATGTAATCAGTGTTTCAACTGCCAGAAGACGTCAATAAAACAGCTTATAAACTTACCGTGTTGTCACGGTCCCAAAATGTCAGAATTACCAATACCAGTACAAATCCACGGTTCTTGGTAGCAATTTCGGTACCAAAGCTTAATTTAGATTAAATTTACAAGTGTATATCATGGCTACAAAGATGTATTCTGTATTTATAAGATTAGATAAAATGACCTAACAATAAATAGTTTTTTTTTTACTTTGAGAATTTTATATTTATTGTTCTTGATATAAATCCAAATTAATCTTTATTGAATTGAGATCAAAACTGCATCAAACTGCTTGTGAATCGAAATTGAATTGAGTTAATACCCACACCTAATATGTTGTGTTATTTTTACACATTTTATACATTTATTGTTATCACTATTTTATTAATACATTTATTCATCATGGTTTAAATTAAGTCATTTAGCTTAGCATATAAGAAACACGTGCAGTTAATAATAATAATAATATGTTTATTTTCTATAGCGTCTTTCAAGAACCCAAGGTCGCTTCACAATGCAAAACAAACAGCAGGCAAACAGCAGGCAAACATATACAAGGCCATCTGCTTATAAACAGATGGAAACAAGCAAACACTAATTTACATGAATCAAAGAAAAACATTTTGTACTAGTTATCCGAATATACAATTACCACAAAGAAAGTAGAAAAAAGAGCTGAGAAAGTGGAGAAAAGTGAAAACAATGTTGAGGATGCTTAAGATATGAGTTTTAAGTTGTTTTTTGAAGGTCCGATTGTTGTCGGTCGCACAAAGATTTGGGTGCTTTTTATTCCATAACTTAGGGCCGACAACACTAAAAGCCCTACCGCCCACCGTAGAGAGTCTGACCCGGGGTGCCACGAGTAGGTTTTCAGCGCTAGACCAAGGGGCCGAGTTGGAAGGTATGGCTGTACCAAATCAACAACATATTTGGGTAACGGGCCATGTAAGGCTTTATGTACAAGGACTAACAGTTTGAATTGGATGCGGTTTATGACAGGAAGGATAGGAGTGATATGAGCAGATTTTTTGTTATATGTGAGGGCTCGTGCAGCAGAGTTTTGTACCATTTGAAGGCGGTGAATTGCTTTGGTGGGTAGCCCACTGTATAATGAGTTGCAGAAGTCCAACCTGGAAGTGATGAAAGCACGAATAACAAGTTTCCGCATATAAAGGTGAGAGAGGGGCGAATACGAACAATATTCCGCAGGTAAAAATGTCATGTCTGGGTGAGCTCTGTGATCTAGGGGTTAATCAACAGGATTTCAGTTTTACCAGCATTAAGCTGTAAAACGTTAGAGGACATCCATGTTTTAAGTTCGTTGAGGCAGGAGTAACTGAAGAGGGTGGAAAAGATGAGTTGGGACTGACCGTGAAGTAGATTTGAATATCATCAGCGTAGCTACGAAAATTGAGACCATGCTGTCTGATGATCTGGCCTAACGGTAGCAAGTAGATTAGAAATAGAAGCGGACCAAGTACAGAGCCTTGGGGCACACCGAGAGAGACAGACACAGAGCGTGAGCGGCTCTTACCTATCTTAACAAATTGTTGTCTATCACATAGATAGGAGGTCAACCACTGAAGTGCCGCACCTGTGATGCCTATTGCAGACAATCGTGATAGAAGTGTAGAGTGGATCCTACGACACTAACTCCAGGGCAGTGCAGAGACGGATCAGAAATGAGCTAAACTCAGTCCGGCCGGCCCGTGAAGCTCCGCAGAGTGGAGGCCTCAATACTCATAGCGAGAGGAGGCAACACTCACTGAGGTCAGTAGCTAAGGAGGCTCCTAGTGAGCCGAACAACTTAGCATACTAACTTAGCCACGCTCTAAGAGCAGAACAGCCAATGAGCGGAGGCCCCAGTAAATAACTCTCTCAGCGAGAGGAGGCCTAACTACTTGATATCGCTAACCGGACAACGCTCCATCTGAAAGCAGTAGTGCAGGAGGCTCAGAGAGAGCCTAATGAGAGACCTACTCCGGCCTGGACAGCTATCAAGAAAGCTCACAGAGAGCCCAAATACTTGATATCGCTATCCAGGCGTATCTCTAGAGCGAAAGCCTCGGCTGAGCTCGCAGTTGGAGATGGAGTAGAGGCTCAATGGGTCTGCTACTCAATACCGCTGCCTTCCGAGATCTAAGAACGGAAACCTCAATGCCTCTCGAAGCGAGGGTTACCCTCGTTAGTTACCCCCGTGAGACCAGACCCTAGAACGCCGCTTCTAGACCACTTCCCTGATGTTACCTCACCTCTTTCTAAACTCACTGTCGGGTCTGGTCTCTGATCCTCAGACCGGGACGAGCCAGTCCCCTTCGTGGCTTGAGGCGTGGACCTGGACCGCCACATGCGGCATAAAGGACTGAAGAGCCGCTGAGCGAGCCGTCGCCTCCCGAATCTTCCCGGCCACGGATGTGCCAAAATATTTAAAGGGCGAAACCGGCGAAAACAGATAACAGCTGTTGTGAATATCTGATTGTTAAAGGTTTGCATTAGTGTTTATTTAGATCTTAAATAGAGATTTGAGAACTGATTAACTCTAAAGATTGTATTGAGGTTTGTTAATGATCATAAAGCATGTCAAGGATTTATTGTAGGTTTACAATTTTTCTAAATTCTGTTGTTTAACACAGAATCATCCAATTTAAGATGTTACTTTTGCGCCATAAAGGAGAAATATTTTTATTTTATTAATTTTTATTTACATTCTATCAAGAGCAGCTGCCTTAATCTGTCAGGTTATGACTAAAACGTTTTATTTTTTGTTGGGGTCTATGGCTGACAATCAGTCAAATCAGGAGGAGTGTCTCGAGCTGTAACATGTGAGCAATAAATGTGCAGCACTTGATCTGATGATTATTGGAGGATTGGAGGCTTTATCTAAAGTTGTCATACCTTAACGTTTGGTTGAACTGATGCTGATATATTCAAGCTGTACATATTATCAGTATTCGTGATCTTTGGGAATCAAACCCATGAGCTTGATGTTGCTAGTGTCTTGCTTTATTTGAGAATTTTTTATGTTTCTGAGGTTTGTAAATCCAAGAGGAGATTTTTACATTTTCAAATGTGCTGTTCGGCCTGAACACACAGGATTGGTCAGTCAGGCGTCTGAGCTGTTACCCAGTAAAGGTTCACTGGACTCTACAGGTGTTTCTACTGGTTCTGGACAATCCAGAATTATAAGTGGACTCTGATCTCCGACCCCTGGATTAAACAGCGGACTGACTGCTCCAGGGAATCTGATCTTCATGGTCAGCACATGTTTCCTCTCTTTGACATTGTAAAATGACAGCTGACCTTTACCATAATCTAACAGAACTCCCAGTCGTTCGGGTCTCGGCGTCAGTGAGAGAGAAACTGATGGATCACATTTAGGATCAGAGCTGATGTAAAAGCCATTAGGACCGTCTGAACACAAGAACCAGTACCCGTTTGATGGAGTTACAGCAGATCTGTCTTTTACACGAACATTTCCATGTTTCGTCACACCAATTAACCAGTAGTTTTTAGTAGGTGTATGTTCTCGTGCCAACTCTACCTCCCAATAGCGACGGCCAGATTTATATCTTTGAGCTCCGACTGCACATAATTCATATGGAAATCCCTCTCCAGTGTGTTTATATTCTTCAGCGTCTCTTACTTTTTTACAGTCCTCAGAAACCTTCAGATCTGGATGTGAATGCTCAGGGTCAATAGTGATCTGAACTGAGGAAGAGATAAAACAACAATTATTAATCCTCATGAGTGTGAAATATTACACACATGCATATATAACTGAGATGATGTCATACCTGCATGTTTCCTCAGTTCTTCTATATTTACATCTCCCCCAACTAAAAAGAAAAACAAATAATTTGAGGTTTTACAGAAAACCTTCAGCAGTGATCACTGAATCAACATCTACAGTTACACGTCATTTAATTCACTTTTCTGTATTCTGTTAATTTTGCATATTGAAGTACATTTGATTGTTCACATTATGTTCTAGTCATAGACATTACAATAGTTTGTAAAATATACAATCCAAAAATCGGAGACTTTGAAAATCTGATTTACAGAAAATCTAAATATAATCTACACTTGGAAGTTTCAGAATTTAGAAATCTTTGATAAAAAGTAATAATATGATGAGCTCCTTTAAAAAGATGCTTTTCTTGCCTCCATTGAACCACAAAATGCTCTTTACACTAAATAATATTAAGAAACATGACATAAAGAAAAATACAAAATCAGCATTTTCACTGGTGTTCCCAGATGTTTGGGCCGCACTGTTACATGTTATTTAAGTGATCAAATGAAAATGCTACAACAACATCCATGCAGCATATAATGATATAAAAATATATCAAAGAACAAAAAAACTTCTTCAAATACCTTTCATAAATCCATCCTCGCAAACTAAAATGAGAGAATTGGAAGGTTTAATTATCAATCTGCGTTCACAAAACAACAATTAGTTATATTTTTAACCCTTTCAGGGTGAGAACATGAATATTCACTTATATTGCCGTTTGAACATTATATTGCCGTGAATGGGCGACAAACCATAACAAATAATTTGATCTCATGATTCATACATTTAATTGACCTATGGCTAAGCCACGCCCTCAAACGCGATGAGCCAATCACAGTGCGCAGCTAACCCAATACACTTAGACATTCTCTGCTTCCACGTCCATTGGAATGCTTTGCATTTAGTCAGTTTTCATAAATTTTTTCTTATTTTGTCATTTTAAGTTTAAAATGGTCAAACGGTGTGCATGGGGTACATGCAACTAGGTTCCCGAGAGGCTGGGCAACGGTGTGTATTTCTTACCCTTTCCCAAGCCACATCTCAACCGAGATAAGTGTCTGCTCTGGATTAAGTTATGCGGTAGACCACAACACCAACTAAACGCGGATAAATTAAACAAGGATGTCTACATCTGTTCTAAGTTAAGTCAACAACGTATTTGAACGTTATTCAGCATTGTGTTGTCTTCCGGTTCTGATCCGCGTTCAGTGACGCTGCTGACGTGAGACGCGGCTGACGTGTGTCTGGTGCGTCCGTGTATTCGGGTTCAAATAAATATGGGCAAAAAAATGCAAGTCTTCCTCTTTGTGGAAATCCTTAGACATGTTTGCGAAGATTGTTCGCCAGACCAGACACACGTCAGCCGCGTCTCACGTCAGCAGCGTCACTGAACGCGGATCAGAACCGGAAGACAACACAATGCTGAATAAAGTCGTTGTTTTTGCTGTTTGGACCAAAAAGTATTTTCGATGCTTCAAAAAATTCAAACTAACCAGCTTTTATGGACAAGGACAGTATAAGGTACATACATTTTCAATGAACAGAAAGCTCGGCGACTAAATCTAAAATATCTTAAACTGTGTTCCGAAGATGAACGGAGGTCTGACGGGCTTGGAACGACATGAGGGCGAGTCATTAAACTTAGGACATAATTTTCATTTTTGGGTGAATTAACCCTTTAAGGCCCTTAAGGTGACTTTGAGATAATATATAATCTTTCTGTCTCCAAAAATCACTGATTGCCTCCTGTGAAATGTCTCCTACTGTGAAAGCTGCCATACGTAGCACCTGTCCCCGATTGTTGACTGTTTGTCCGAGTGAGAGGAGGGGGCGTGGCTTAGCCATAGGTCAATTAAAAATCCCCAAATTATGTAAAATTCTGTTTCTTTGCATGAAACCAGCACAGTTCACACATATGCATCATGTTTAATGTTTCCCTTATAAAACAATTTTTCCCAATTTTATAGCGATATTATTCTCTTTATATCTTCACATTCAGTATGTTCCCATCAATGAAACATACAGAAACAAGTTTAAAAGTCAACTAAGTTTAGCTGGTTATAAAATGGGGGAATGAAAGGGGGAATTCACTTAATGGCTGTATGTAGATGTTAATGAGGTGAGTTCATGTTACTTACTTTGATCTCTTTGTTTCTTCCCTGCAAAACAGAAATATAAACGCATGAGAAATTGAATACATGAAATCCGCCTGTAGATGAATTCTGTTATTTACCTGTTAGTTTATGTCTGTATTTGTACAGGATCAGACCAACCAAACCCAGAACAGCACAAATGAGAACGATGAAAGGAACCTTCCATGGATCTGATGGATCTGAGAAAGAGAAACCAGAGTCCGGTTACATAAACAGAGATTATGTTGAGAACTAGTATGACCAACTAGACGTTTTTATGTAACTGCCTTTTTAAAAAGTTATCATCAGTTTTCACAAAATCACAAAGTAGCTGGGGAAAACATTTAAGGTGTTGGAAATGATCACATGGGAATTATGTGAAGTTCAAGCAAACTTGATCACTTTGAATGATAAATAAACGTATGAGTGAACATGTTCTCTGACCTGAACGGATGACGGCCTGTATGTCAATCCTACTTTCTCTGAGCTCTCCAGTCTTGAGAGACATTGAGCATGAGACCAGTTGAGCGTCCGAGTGAGAGACGGCCGTCCAGCTGTGGACAGAGAACATCTCATCGGCTCCACGACTGCGAGACACTCCTCCAGGACGGAGAACCGTTCGCTCATCTGACGTCCAGGAGACGTCCGGCTCTGGATACCAGCCGCTGGACTTACAGCTGATGTTCACTCGTCCATCATCCAGAGGCTGCGGAAACAGGACAGGAGCGGATCCTAAAGCTGCAAGAGGACAGACATACCGCTCAGACGTGTATATTTTTAATATCTTTGAGTAAATGCATCTCTAGTGCTTCAATGGAGACTTTTCAACCATTTCTTTGGAAAATTATGGCAGTATTCCTTAAAAAAGGGTTTGATATTCTATTCAGAGATAGATTAGTAGAAATCTGGAGAAAAGCCTACTCATGCAACAGAACATGGGGATATCTTTAACAAGGTGTAATTTTTAACTCACCAATGACTTTGAGAACCACCTCTCCGCTGTCATATGCACTTTCTCCACTGACATAACAGTGATATGAATCTTCATCCTGAATCCTGAGTTTCTCCAGCCGTAGAGAGACGTCTCCATCCTTCAGTCCACCAGACTGATCCGAGCGCAGAGTCAGTGAGCTTCGGTTCCTGAACGATTCCGCCTGGATGATCTTCCCATTCTGATAGAGGAGAACAGGGTTGCTGTACTGGTCCTGACGGTACCAGCGGATCTCCAGAACTTCAGCGTTCTCAGGAGGAGAGATCCAGCAGGGCAGAGTGACTGTGGACCCGACACGAGCCACTGTCTGATCACGAGGAACCACAACAGTGAACGAATCTGAGAGACACACACAGACACACCTGATGAAATATACTAAGACTTAGTCTATAAATATATTACGCATTAGAGCAAATATACTATGCATTAGTGTTTATGTATAAACTAATATCTAAGGATCTAAGGAAAACAGGAATAGAGCAAACAGAGTAAAAACAAAACTAGAACAGAACATGCAGTATGGGAAGGGGTCTCTCCGGGGAAGGTCTAACTGAGGAGAGAGGGTGGGGACTCGGGATCAGGGCAGGTGAAAGGCATGAACCAAAAGGTGCTGACAGCGGGTGGAGCCAGGGAGGAGCCCGGAGCAGGAGCAGCCAGGCGGAGACCCAGAGTGCAGCCAGGACAATGGAGGGATGATGAAGGCTTGGTTATCAACACCAGGGGGACAATGGATAGAGATGGAGCTGAAATAGGTAGAGATGAAGGCAAAAACAAACAGCAGATGGGACTGGGTGACACCGATGTTCCTGGAGTCCGCAGGTGTAGCCGCAGTGACGAGTGTCCAAGGTGGAGCCAGTGGACTGAGGACCGAGGTGGAGCCGGAAGCAAGGTGGGAAGCAAGCCAAAGGGGTGAAGATCCAGAGCTAAGCAGATGGCTTGGAAGTCTGTGGTGCATGCATGATGATTTCTGACCAAGCTGTATAGATAAGCGAGCTCGGTGGAGCTTCAAGGACTATAGTCTCTGATAGAGCCAAGGTAGAGCTGATGACAGTTGACAGGCCGAGGTGAAGTACCACGATCACAGAGCCAGGGGACTAAAGTGAACCAGCGGTGGTAGGGCTGTGAAACTGGTTATAGGAAGAGGAGGTGGGAGAGAGAGGCTGAACTCTGGAGACACAGGAGACTTTGAGCTGGGCAGGACCAGTGGGGACGGGAGGACAAGTGAAATTACCTTCTTCCAAGTCCTATAAATAATTTCCAGAGGCCAGGCACAATTCATCCACAGCTGTGGGGGTGTGGGCAGGGATTCCCTATATGCTTTCAAACTCCACAAGCAATCCCAAGGGGGATGGACGATGTAGCCGACTCCTGCACTGGTCAGACTGTGTTGGGTTCGGGCTCTGGGGATTAGTGTGGCTCAGGCATTAGCTCTGGAGCTTTCTCCGTGGCGGGCTGGGGCTCAGTGTCTGTGGTAATAATTCATTACACACAGACTGATGTATTCCAAGTGTTTATTCTTTTTAATTTTGATGATTATAACTGACAACTAATGAAAACCCCAAAATCAGTACCTCAGAGAATTAGAATATTGTGAAAAGGTTCAATATTAAAGACACCTGGTGCCACACTCTAATTACCAGCAAATGCCTTTAAATGGTCTCTCAGTCAGTCCAGTTCTGTTGCTACACAATCATGGGGAAGACTGCTGACTTGACAGCTGTCCAAAAGATGACTATTGATATCTTGCACAAGGAGGGCAAGACACAAAAGGTCATTGCTGAAGAGGCTGGCTGTTCACAGAGCTCTGTGTCCAAGCATATTAATAGAGGCGAAGGTAAGGAAAATATGTGGTAGAAATAAAAGTGTACAAGCAATAGGGATAACTGCACCCTGGAGAGGATTGTGAAACAAAACCCATTCAAAAAATGGGGGAGAGTAGAGTCAGTGCTTCAAGAACCACCACACACAGATGTATGCAAGACATGGGTTTCAGCTGAGTTCACCAGGGTTCAAGCCACTCTTGAACAAGTCACAGCATCAGAGGCGTCTCGCCTGGACTAAAGACAAAAAGGACTGGACTGCTGCTGAGTTAGGCTCTCTGATGGAAGTAGATTTTGCATTTCCTTTGGAAATCAGGGTCCCAGAGTCTGGAGGAAGAGAGGAGAGGCACAGAATCCACGCTGCTTGAAGTCCAGTGTAAAGTGTCCACAGTCAGTGGTGCCAAGTCATCTGCTGGGGTTGGTCCACTGTGTTTTTTGAGGTCCAAGGTCAACGCAACCATCTACCAGCAAGTTTTAGAGCACTTCATGCCTCCTGCTCCTGACCAACTTTATGGAGATGCAGATTTCATTTTCCAACAGGACTTGGCACCTGCACACAGTGCCAAAGCTACCAGTACCTGGTCTAAGGACCATGGTATCCCTATTCTTAATTGCCCAGCAAACTTGCCTGACCCTAACCCTATAGAAAATCTACGAGGTATTGTGAAGAGGAAGATGCGATACGCCAGACCCAACAATGCAGAAGAGCTGAAGGCCACTATCAGAGCAACCTGGGCTCTCATAACACCTGAGCAGTGCCACGGACTGATCGACTCCACGCCACGCCGTCATTCAGGCAAAAGGAGCCCCAAATAAGTATTGAGTGCTCATACTTTTCATGTTCATACTTTTCAGTTGGCCAACATTTAAAAAAAAATCCTTTTTTTGTATTGGTCTTAAGTAATATTCTAATTTTTGGAGATACTGAATTTTGGATTTCCATTCATTGTCAGTTTTAATCTTCACTATTAAATGAAATAAACATTTGAAAAATTTATCAGTCTGTGTGTAAAGAATGAATATAATATCCAAATTTCCCTTTTTGAATGGAAGTACTAAAATAAATCAACTTTTTGACGATATTGTAATTAATATGACCAGCACCTGTATATATATATATATTTATATATATATGTATATATGCATGAACTGATGGATGGACTGAACAGAACTTATGGATGGACTGAACATTCACATTAGAGATGTTCGGACTCCAGTTCGGCTGTGAGAACTTCAAAATACTCAACAAGTATTTTTGTTGAGTAACCCAAGACTTGGGTTGAAGGCCACAATAGATGCTGGCACTGTGGGCGTGGTCATCATGCTGCCAACTGCGCACTGAAAGCTCTCTATCCATCAAGCAGTTTTGTGGGAATCGCCCTTCAATCTGATTGTTTACTTTGCTGGATCTAGCAAATAATGACAAAATGAATGTTAAACAAGATTAATGGCATATGCTTTGTTTCATGATAAGCGTGCGATTAATCACACATCAAAAGTCTGATTAATCCGATTAAAAAATGTAATCTAGTATTGACAGCACTAATTAATCCTTGTAAGCACCGACGCAGGGTTGCATCTCAGGTCATGCATGCGTTTAAAGTTATTTACATCTTAGTTTGACCGAAGCTGCCATGCTCGTGTGCACGTTCATTTAATTAGGCCTATTTCATCCTAGAGATTGTAATATTGTATTATATATTACCTTTATTGATCAGTGTTTTACCAATTAAGCTTTATTAATAGTGTGTTGTGTTTTTAAATGTTTTATGTTTGTATTCTCAGATGCACACATAGCCTGAGTGTAACCGGCAGTCCCTGTCTGGGTGAAGTTTGTCCCTCTGCAGCTACGGTGTGTGTGTGTGTGTGTTTGACTATAGGCACCAGAGTTCAGAGGACGGTTGGTGAACTTCACTCTTATCTCCGACAGGTAACCTCAGTATTGTCTTGTTATCTTGCTAATTTTATTGTCCCTGGTAGCAGCCAGCAGCTCTGGTCTTCTAGTGTGTACAATCTTAGAAGAAAAGGTTCTATATAGAACCTTAAAAGGTTCCATCAGTGCTATGTATTTGGAACCCCTAAAAGGTTCTATACACTCTTAAAAAAGGGTTCCTCTGGGTTCTATGTAGAACCCTGAGGTTCCACACTTGGCCAATAGAACCTTTTACAAAAAAAAAAATGGTTCTATATAGAACCATTTTGGAGTTCCATATATGAAGCGGGGGATGGAACCATTTGTGGTTCTAAATAGAACCATTTCTTCTAAGAGTGTATCTACATGGTGTGTATATACATCTATGATGGTGTGGCTCTTTTAGGTATTGTTATTTTTTGTACTGAAAGCACGTCTCCGTCTTGTTCATCTTGGGTGTATTTCTATGAATCCGCTTGTCTTAGGTCAGGTACTCAGCCCTTAATGTGCAAAGTATATCTTGGTATTGGTATGAGAGGCACGAGGTGGCGTCGTCCCCAACCTAAGTTGAGATAGGTCACAAATGCACATTTAATAATCATCGTTCTGACCAGACAAACTGTATTCTTCCACTAAACCAGGACTAGTGATTACAGTGAAGACCATCAAAAGCCATCACTGCAGAAAAAGCTTTCATTTGTTAACATTTAATAATGGACTAACGAATATGAACTAACAATGAGAAATACATTTGTTAGAGTATTTATTAATCTTTCTTAATGTTAGTTTAAAAAATCAAGTTTTTAATTGTTCATCAACATAAATAAATGTTTCTTCATTCTTATTTCATGTTAACTAAACTAGTTTACTAATGTTAATTAACCTTATTGTAAAGTGTGATTTCCAAATTTTAAATGAACTCCTCATATCTGATTTTATGAATAACCGGTGCAACGCTTGCGGAAATTGTTTGATTTTGCCGAAGCCCCAAATAGAAAATTACTCACCAGCCACTGAAAGCCTCGAGATGTTTTAGAAAAAGAGCAAATCGAGAGAAAATGAAACTAGAACAGAAAAATAGCAGAATTGTGTGTAATATTTTAGCCATGAATGAACCCCAAACCTTAATGAAACCTTACCTGTGGTGTCTATGAGGAGATTCACCAGTAAAGCGATGATAGTAATCGACATCATTCCTGTGAAAATACAGACAGACTCAAATAAAACAAGCTCTGGGGATTTTCCAGAATCACGCGAGGAGTGTGAGAGAGAAATATGATCAGATGAGGAAACAAAAACTCACCGGAGAAACACTCGTCTGTTAAATCACAGTAATCTGGTTTAGATGCAGATGAGCTGTTTGACTCGTTCAACACAATAATAGAGTAATTAAACGATAAAATAGACGACGATCTGAATCTATGAAGCGTGCTCGTGATTTTCTCTACTTTCACTTTCTATAAATAGCGCGATCCCAATAAAACACGTCATCAGATGACGAATAAGGCTTCGTATTCAGTATAATTCTGTTGGATGTGTTTTTGTGTAATAACCTTTGCGGTGTGAACATGCATGTGTGTGTGTCTTTCTGTTTTTACGAGGCGATT